CCATCAACTCGCACTCGTTCACGGTAGCCTTGTAGTACCCTGAAATAATCTGGCGCATAAAACCTAGAATTCAAGGGTTGTAAGTTGCATCGGCTGCCGATGTGCTTATAGTTTCCAATGCCAAACGATGGAGGCCCTGATAACACGCAAAAAATTTATCACTACCTGTAAATAAATATTGTTATGAGGATTATGCTATGACTTTAGTGTTCAAAGTATCAAACATACAATGCACAAGTGTATTTCTAGTGCCAGGATTTTACACTGCAGCTATGCGTTATTAGTAATCTTCACTTTGCTTTAAGTTTATTCAAAATATTGTAACACTAAAATTCTCCATACTGAAAAGTAATTTGATACTCTGTAAGAGTTGAGCATTTATAACAAATTAATACATAAATGTAGAACGCAAGGTGGCCTTCAATTAAATTCTGTTCTAGTTAAAATTCTGAATAACCTTTTGTTATCGAAATACCATTTTGAAAGGGTGATTGACTGAATGATGAAAAGGGTCACAAAAATGGAAAATATTTAAAACCTGTAAAAATCATACCTCCAACCTATGCGAAACAAGTTAAGCTGGTTTAGCAATCTGGATCCTAAACTTAAGCAAAAAAGAATGATTAGCATTTTAAAAAGATGTGTCCTCGCAGATATCGCGGGTAATCGCTACGATTATACACTCGATGAGACGATAGTTTTAGTAATAATTTTATTTTGCAAGATATTATCGTAAATTATTTACAGAAAATATGCACAAAATTATTTTCCGAAAACATAAAAAAAAAACCTTAAAAAAAATCTGTCAAAATGCAATGATATGGCAAACGCCAACATTAAATGAATGTACACCCTCGATTTCTGATAAGTAAACCTGTCCGTGTACATTTCACGCCCATAAAGAAGGTAAACGAATGGTAAAACATAGAAGGAAGGGATTGGCTTTGCAAAGGTCAGGGATTTTCTGTGTCCCTCAGGACATAACACTAGATCCCAGAGAATAATATCATATTACTCTTTATAGGAAATTTATGAGTTCATGAAAGCACATTATTATTATTCCACCAATAACAAAAATTGCATATCATCAACTTAAAAGTTACGAAAAACTGTAACTTTTTAAACATAATAAAATTATCAAATGAGAATCTCATGCACAAAACTAAGTATAATGAACTTGAAAACACAAGTTATTTTCTTTTCGTTTTTATTTTTTCCTTGTGTAAATAATACTTCTTCCAAAAACATAAAAAAAAAGCTTTAACATTTATGTAACATAATATATTATTATGTAACATCCACCATTTGTCCTGACAAAATGAATATTCAAAAACCAACCACCAACTTAACATCATTTGCATTTCTGATCCGTACACATTTTTACTTAATATGCCATTTTGAATACCCGAAAACAAAATCAACCCGCTGACGAAGTAATTTTTCAACAAGACGCTAAAGATGAGATTTACAACACTGGAAGATTTAAGGGGCGCACATACAACGACCACATAGAAAACCTATAGTTAGGTGAATTTTTTTTAGTTATATCTAGAAGATTTTATATTTTACAGACTAATTAGATCTCAATTGTTATTAATAAAATATATAAATATGAATTTTTGCATTAATTACCAATAAAGTAAAGACATAAAAAAGGCGACCCTAAGTGGTATATCCTTGAGAATTTGAATCAGATAAAATAATTTTTCTCACATGAAGGATGTTTATCTAATAAATATATATCTAAATAGATTAAAATCCTTTTTATATTGCTCAAAGAGGGTTTGCTCAGTGGGAAATGTATAGCTTTTAACATTACCATAATAGCAATTTGAAACACAGGAAGATGATACAGCTTCTCCAAATACCAACTGGTTACAATAGAGCAATGCTACCACACACACACACACATGTTAAAGGCAACAACAGGCTTACAGATTTTTATATTTACAAACGCGAAAAACTTAAAATCCTATATTCACGTTATCCAAACAGCTGAATACATATCAAATACATACATATTCTTAATCAAGGAATCACTGAGGTTATAACTTTACAATCATCATCATCATCATCATCATCATCATCATTATTATCAAAATTAAACGAGTCAAATACAACTCAATATCCTATCACCATCATCATCACCACCCCATTAGCACGATCACCATCATCACAACATTCACCATCTTATAGATATACCTGAATTTTTTTTTTTAGATTACCACACTATATTTCATTGAAATCATTATTGAGGTCAACCATGATAATAATCATTTAAACAATTATATACATAACTTTTGTTAAAAATACATTACGATAATTAGAATTAAATGCACATAATCAAGCAGTATTGATAGAAATGATGTGCTAACGACGGAATAAGACGTTTGGAAAACTTCATCATTACACTTATGTAAAACAGTTTTCTCAAAATGTTTGTTGATCATCATAGATCAAGAGCCGCAACTTTAAAAACAACACATTTCTTTTCATAATCCTATTTTTACTATCATTATCACTATCAGTCAGACAACATATTGTGACAAATAAGTGACATACACTGACAAATAAGTGACAAATACCAAAACAAACTAGAAACACCCTGTCACAGATAAAATTTGTAAACATGTACAGCAACCCTCTATTATTAAGCTTTTTGCTTGTTTACAATTTCAAGGTTAGTTTTCATATGAATTACAAATCATGTAAGAACACAGAACACCTATTTTATAAAACGTATGCAGCAAATGATTACACAAGGGCAGAGAGGGAAAAAGAGAGGATAACAGGTTACAGGGAGTGAGTATGGGGGGGCAGGGGTTATATTTCAATACAAGCTGAGGTCTGTTTTCACACATACACCTATCCAGTTTTCTATACCCGAGCACCATGTACATTTCAAAAGTACATTCTGGTTCCTTGTTATACTTTCAAGTGATTTGATATAATTTCGTGATTGTTTGTCGTTCTTATCAAGGAGTTTAGCCGGATCCGGTGCTCTTCCCGCAACCATTTGTGTTGTTCCCGTTTCCACTCATGCTCCTCCATCATCAACTTTATCCGAACCTGATGCTCCTCAATCATAAGTCGCATCTTCAGTTCATCCCATTTTTCAACTGAACTACGGGGTTCGGAATCGCACTCCATAACTTGCGGCGAAGTCGGTATCTTTGAGTTGAGCATATGTGGATCCGGGGTGTCTGATAATGCATGGCTCCCTGAAGTCGATTCCGACGGAGGTGGTTCAAACATATTTTGTGCTTCGGTTCGCTGAATAGTATTATCTATAGAAAATATTTAATATATATAAATTTTCGTAGCTTTCTAGTCTACCAAGCAAATAGAAGCACGAAAGTCATTAGCTACGAGGTAGAGATTCCCCATATAATCATCTTTTTTTTAAAGAACAAATTTGTTTAAAAAAATTAAGTTTGAACATAATCAATATAATCAATAACAGTAATGTCGTATATAGAGCAGAATTACAAGGCCTATATTTTTATTTTACCAAAAGCAGAGTTTTAATAATAATAATAATAATAAAGAAAACTTGCAAAGTACCAATTACACATACCGGTACATATTTATATACATTTTTATATATACATTGTAATTATAGCGGTAGTATTAATAATATTAATGTAAAACCGCATCTATATAGTTTGCAAATTCGCATGTCACACTCGACATACTAAGGAAACTGTGGTTTGCATAAAATATGCTAATGGCTTATACACACTCTCTTACCCTTGAAAAGTATCAAATATTCAAAAAAGTGATATAGTTTCTACATTATATTCAATTGTTTCCGTAGTAATAACAAACTTACCTTCACTCTCTTTTGATGTTTCTACCGATTCAAACATATGTGGAATAAATGCACGCATAGTATCCGTTACAGATGGCGTGGAAGATGGCGAAGCGCTTGATGCCTCCATTTTAATCATTTGCAATTCTTGCCACTCCAAAGCGTCTTGTTTTCTCGCTTTTTGCGTGAGGTTCTGGAAGCAAGTTCTTAATTCTTGAGAAGTTCGGTTGCAAACGTCTTCTTCGGTGTTGAATAATGTTTCTATGCATTTCCACGCTTCATCTTTACTTTTTTGCGTTTTCATATCCTTACATGATGAAACCACGATGGGATACTGGTTCGCTAAATGTATCAACAAACTCCGTTCCAAAGGTGAAAAATTTGCTTTTCGTTTTACTGTTGGTGCTCCAATATTAGGATCTGAAACCCCTTCGCGTTTTCTAATTTGATGAATGCTTTCATCTTTTTTAGCCTTCTGAAGCAAATTCTGATAGCAAATTCTCAATTCTTGTGGTGTACGTACAGAAATATTTTCAGAATCATTGAACAAAACGGCGATCATTTGCCAAGCCTCATCTTTGCTACGCTGCGTCTTAGAATCCTTAGACGACGAGCTGACTATAGGGTAGCCTTTAGTTAGATCGAGTAGAATGCTCTTCTCTAGCATCGTAAAGTTGGCTTTGCGTTTGGCCAAGGGTGGTGTGCGTAGAGAGCTCATGAGTGACTGCCGTTGTTTTCACGTCAGGTACCAATAAAAACAGCTACGTTTCACGGAATAATGTTACTTATAAGCAGACACGGGTAGTCACCAAACAAACCAACATAGAGACATGAAAGTATGTGTAGCTAGCCTTGACCATACCCTGACATGTTCAAGTATATACTGGTATGTTGCTGTTCCCGCAGTTCTAATGGCTGACTCCTAGTGCATAGATCTATAGTTCTCTTTTAATATTGTGCCATAAATGCTATTACCTAATTAAATTCCATTCCTATGACCTTCGTGCCCTTTGCGTACATGTACGTGATTGGCTTGGCCCATCTAAAGACCTAATGTAATTATAACCCCTAATTTAACTCTGTGTATTATAAGAGGAATATGAATTTTGGTATTACCTTGTTCAGGACACAATAACCACTGATTTTAGTCACAATTTTGAATGAGAATTGATTTTTTCAAGCGTGTATGTACCGCCCGACATTCACCATCAGTTTCTATACCAGCACACAAAGAAACCACATATATGGATTGGTAAAGTAGAATTGCACATGTGCAAATTGAGTACCACAGCAATATTTCGGGCAGGTTTTACATTCGATTTATATTTAATTACTCATCTGTAGAAGCAATACACTACAAAAAATCATTTTAAAATAATATCAGCGGCCTTCCTACGCGCCGGGTAAATGTTTCTACGCCGGGTGCATTGTGCACACTGATCACGGGTATACTAGCCTAGCCTAGCTCTGTAAACATAGGCCTAGCTCTGTAAACACAGGCCTAGCTAGAAAAACATACTCAAATGATTTAGTATATAACTACTACCAATAATTTGGTGTCTGGCCATGGGCTCGGCATGGTCCACAAGAATGCCTAATATCATATTTTCAAATATGTATTGAATTTTTGGTCACAGTAAGTGAATAAAAAATATTTCAAATTAAAGAAATAATTGTTTAGAAAAAAAAAAAAAAAAAAAAACTCCAATTAAAGTACAACAACGCATTTAGATTTAACATACCAACCTTTAATTAGATCATCAGATAAAAATAAGCCCATGTTTGGAAATATTGATACCAAAACAGTTAAAAAAAACCAACCAATGGGAATATAGCCAGAATACTGTAGCCAATGAGGGCCTCAAAGTTAGTGTAGGTGATTCAATAAAATATGTAGGTGATTCAATAAAATATGGCAAATTATCAGCTGACTATAAACAAAGGAAAAGAGCGTATAGTGTAAAAACCTGACTATATCATACAACTGATTCAAGGTCCATAAAAACTATAGTTTACAAAATGTCAAATATGTAATAAAATATTATTGTGATTCAATACTTCGACATTTAATTAGATTATTATCGTGAATAATAATAATATAAAAACCTGTTCCAAAGAATACACTAATAAACTTAAAAAAAATTAAATTCAATATTAATATTTGAAATGTCATGAAAAATATCCTTCCTCTTATTATTTGAATCCCAAATTGGTTGATTAAATAATTTTTACAGTAAACTTTATAAATCATCAAGAACCTCTTATTATACCTTTACTTTTGGAAGTTGAGAAAATAATAATAAAATGTCCACAATAAAGACATTTATTTCATACATTAGGTGTATACTTAAATACAGGTCTCCCTATATTTGGAGACTCCCAAACTAAAGACTACTTTTCTGTGGTCACATATTAACAAATGTCTTTTATTATTCTTATTCTAATCAGAGACCAAAGCTGCTAAAGACTACGGAAGCCTCCGTCCCAAAAGTGGTATTAATTGGAGGGAGATCTATATGAACTTAATGTATTAAATTTTTTAGTTTGTATTGTATATTCAATTTTTAGTTATTAGCATTTAACTGAAAGTCAAAACAATATTTACAACAATACCAATTAACAGATATTATACACATATACTACCATTCTTATCATCTTTACATTGAAGATTTAATGCCATCTAAATCTTTAAAATAAAACATGAGATTTCTTAACATTTATATTCCATTCTAGAGGTGGACAAAAATAGGCTAGAGGGCTATTGCATTGAATTCTTGATGCAACACTGAAGGCTGCACCCAAACTTCGAGACTTCAGATAAACTTCCATACACTGCTATTAGACACCTTTTCGAAGAAAAATGCCTGTAAATTATTATTAATTGTTTAATCTGTTACTTATTGAGGGTTGGTTCTTTAATATTTATGATCAACACAAAATTTAATTTTTTTGGGGGGGTTTTTTCTTTATCTTTGTGTGGAAGTATCTTTAAATTCGTAAACATTTTTAAATATATGTTTTTAAATCAGTGAAAATGAAAGTAACTTATTTCAATTTTTTAGATGAGCAAATTTAATATTTAAATAAATGAATTCTACAACATTTTCTCAACTGTTTACCGGCCAGTACATCATATGTAATCATCTATATGCAGCCTTTTTACATTCTACATACGGTAGATGCTAATACTCTTATATTTTCTACTAGCTAAGAAATTCATTTTATTAAGCTGTCCAACAAGTCTTCAATCCATCAAAACAATTAACCTATAAATAAATTTACTGATAATCAATCATTCAACCAAATAATAAATCAATCAATCAGTCAATTCAATCAATCACTCACTCACTTATTTATTCAATCAATCAATCAATCAATCAATCAATCAATCAATCGTATTTCTTATACCATTTTTCTGTCTGTAACCATTATTTACACAAATTTTTGTGAAGATGCTAGTGGCAATAACGAAAATTGTGACAGTATTAATGACAGAATTGAGCCTAGTTTGGTAAATCACCATTAGCAACAAGCCCCAAAGTTAACGCATACACGAATCAAGTTGCTTAAGGCTCCTAACTAGGCATAATCGGCGCTCGAATCGGATTAGTGCTGTGTGTGGACATATAGGACTGGAAAAGAAGAAATACCTGCACTTTTGTTTACTCGGTCCTAGAAATACGGTTTACACAAAATAATAGTTTGAACATTACACAATCTATCAAGCTGCTATCTGCTAATTTTTCTGTATACCTCTCTTTTCATTTATTTTCTATCTATTCAACTAATATTTATTCATCCATTCATTCATTAATTCAATAATATATCCACTGTATAATTAGCAGCAAAGCCTAGAAAAATTTTCTACAAAAATCTGCCAGAGAGGGCAGTGTTTAAGCAACATCAAACATCAACAATGTATTTTAAAGGCAAGACGTTTTTTAAACCTTGTTTTGCTAACATTACTTTTGAATGATTGTCAGAAATCGCGGAGAGTGTTTGAGGGTGCTCTTAAGCTTAATTGATCAGAGCCGTAGATAGAGAGTTTGGCCAACTTGGCGCATGGGCGCCATGTTGTCACCAAACAGCGTGCGCGCGTATAGCTTTATAACATTTTATAAAACACTGATGCTGCATAAACTTTCATTATTCTGTTCATGAGGACAATTCAATTATGGGATTTTAACATATCATTACATATATCATATATAATCATATTATTTACCTAACTTTGGAATTAATTAATCAGTGACGTGCTGTATTATTTTGAGAAGATAAAGTGAGGAGATTCTTTTTTTTTTTCTCGTTACGATTATCTTTTTGTTTTGAAAGTCTATCATCTAGGCCTAGGCTTATACCTAGTTGCTAGCAGCCTCCTCTATATATAGCATATGAGGCTCCTAAGAGTCAACACTGCAGAAGAGAAAGGTTGGTTGTGCAGAGAGTAGGTTTGTGAATCGTCGGCGATAATATGTTAATTTCGCCTGTAAATGAATGATAAAAATATTAAGAACATGAAAGTTTTATAATTGTATCTATCTAGGCCTTTAGGCCTATGACTTCGTAAACTTTAATTTATGAAATAATATGCTGGTCATCTTCAAACCAATACAAATAGCCTAGGCCTAGGCCTATTTGTAAATTGTAATCTAAACAATAAATCAAAGTTGAAGAATTATTGCATTGAGAGAAATTTTTGTACAACATATGCCTAATCATTCATAATCAAGAAACTAGGCCTTGTAAAGTAAAATAGCAGCATTCTCCACACTTCTGTTTATAATATTAGTGAGTTATAATATTATCATTATTACTGTTGTATTATTCTTTATTTATTATTATTATTTATTTATTACTATTTTGATTTGTAATTTGTAAAACGTTTTGATTTAAAATATGTATTAAAACAATCAATATATTATAATACAATTAGGCCTACCTATATCTTTAAAATATTTTTTTTTATCTTTAAAATCTTTAGTTGCACAATTAATTGATTTGTAAAGCACAATTTGGCATGTTTGCATAGCACAGGACTCCTTGGACAAGTTTTCGCTTTTATTGGAGGATTCAATAAGTTTTTAATTATAATTTACGCTACCTTTGACTGATTCTTCATGTAGCTTTCTGGAAATTTAGTTGTATAATTTAACAGCAAAGTGCAGCATTGCATCTTTTTATAAATCATTGCTGCTTGAAAATCTTTCCTTTTTTTCCTTTTATTATCATCGTAATTAAGCCGATTTAAGTACTACATTAAGGTGTTCGGCCGAAGAAGTACCGAAATTTAGGCCTGTCTAGGCCTAGTAGTAGTAGGTGGATATATATTACCGTGAAGTGGGGCAGGCGGTACATACATGCCTTTTTTCGATCGCCATGCAAAGTTAAAATAAAATCCCAAATCCTCCTCCTTTTTGGAATTTAAGGAAATTAATACATTTTTTAATTATTTTAAAATTATTTTGACAAAAACGAAATGCGAAGTGTGAAGTAAATATAAAATAGAGGGCAGCCTTATGCTCGCATTTGAGGCCCTATCGTGTGGTCGTAAAGAATGTGATGTAAACAAACTGCATATTTTTTACTGAAATTCCCATATTTTTTAGTGCAGTGGTTATCTTAACATAATAAGACAATTTCTATAAATAGGATTAATAATTACTTAAGTTGTACACATGCACAGCAGCAAGAAAAACAAAGTTGCGCAAAAGTTGGCTTGATGCAATACTACCATTTTATTGTCCCGTTTACAGTTACGTAAAATATCTACAGCCTTAAGCCGAGCACATACTCAGTTGAGGGTAGTCAGCTGGCATGATTCTATGGAGCATGCAAAGTGAGGAGGCTTGCAACAGAGCATTTTAGGTGACAACCTGCTTATTATAGTTCTCCCAACGATAATTATCAGACACCTCCTTCACGATGTAAGACTTGGATTGCACGACGACTGTAGGATCTCTAAAAATAATGACGTCAGATAAAGTCATCTCGGCATGCGAAAAAAATTATCATTGTAGTCTGAAATCTAGGATGCAGTTTGGCCCGAATCTATGTTGCACAGATAACGCAGGAAGATACTGGATAAATGAATCTGTTCTATATTTTAACGTCAATGTGGAAATTGAAATCTCCCTATTACATTTATAAAGTGATCACTTACCTTGAGATCCATGTCTCCCTTCATACCTCTTATAAGCGCAGCACTTCTTGTAAGTGACCACGACCACTTTTGTACTTGGAAATAAGCTTTTTCTTTTGGTAATTTACTCCAGCAAACGATCACATTAGAAGTCAAGCAATATTTCCAACAAATACAACTTTACAATGAGCCGATTTTTGACTACCGATTTAAAATACATAGCACAGGATTGCAGTGTATCTATTTACACTTTGTATTCGGCATGTACAAGAGTTTTGGTTCTTGATGCTTCTCGAAACATTATTGAATATCCTAAGTTGAAAGGTTCACCCCTAACAAAGCTATAAATGTGCTTATAAAAAAAATATATATCACAGGGTTTTTACGCCATAAATAGCTCCATTCCTAACTAGAGAGTTTCACACAGCAAAAATCTTGTTGACTTAACTTTTCAACTACAAAGCTACAATACAGCCAACGAATTTATCCTGTTTATTTTCACTGTGTTAAATTGAATCAGTAATAAAACTAAACTGCAAGAACATGACTGTAATCCAGTGTCTCGGATTGACTGTCACCCCTTTTGACTGCCGATGAGTGCCGGACTAACTATATAAATATCATTGACACTGATCATGTGTTTGCTGAAGATCTGCCAATTTATATAGGTTTTGAGGTTGAAGGATTACAGAACTATTTAAAAAAAAAAAATCCCGTCCAGACCATTAAATATTTTATTTGACAAAAACATGTCTAAATATGGTCATGATGACATCACATCATGACCATATATAGGTACATCATCACTATATATAGGCATACAAAATTTTTAGTCAAAGATAGGCTTGAGGTTGAAGGATAAAAAAATCATAATAAAAATATTAAAGCCAGACTATCAAATTTGATTTGACAAAAACATGTGACATACCTAAATATGGTCATGATGATATCACATCATGACCATATATAGGCACATCATGACTATATATGGGCATACAGCAGTTTTTTTTTGTCACTTTGACGATCTGGACAGAGCTTTATGACAACAAACATTGTTGTATTGATATTCCTTGTTCCCAGACGCCGATCCAGTAGGGGGCATGGGGGAACGCACAACCCTCCCCCTGTTAAAAAGTAAAATATTCTAATTTATTCTTTCCATGTCTTTATGAACTTTCCAATCCAGATGAGGCAATATGTTTCCCTACATGAAATTAAAAAAAAATTATCAATACCTATCAAGTGGAGAATACAACTATTTATAGTACAGTAATATTAATACTAAAAATAATAATAATACAAATAATATCCTAAAATCAATAATAAATTAGTACTAATTTTATGTTCATAATAATATGTTCATAATAAAACACTTTCAATAAACATGATTAGTGATACCTAACCTATCCTATTAGGATATTATGTACAAAAACATCTATTATGTATAACAAATTCCATATTTGTAAAGTTATTATAAATATTATTAATATTAATAGAGTACATTAAGAAATATGATTAATAGAGTACAGTAATTAGGATGATCTGACCTCTATCAGAATTATTTTAGTTCAAAATATCCTGAGTAATGTTGCATGCATGATTAATGACCGCACGCCCTCTGGTAGCTCGATCCCGCATTTTATGTTGGGACGACAAGATGGTGATATGCTATGTACTACACGAATGAATAAAGTGTGTTAATGAAAACTTACGATTGAAGGCTATCCTGAGTATTGTATTACGTTTTTAACCCTAGAAGTTACAAGATAAAACATGGTATCCAGAAGTGCCGGATTTGGATTTCATCGTGCTCCATTTCAGTAATAAACTCTGACTTTTGTGTATGCCTAGCGTTCAGAAACTTGTGACTGTACGTATAGCATTAATTGTCAAGCGTCCCCGCGATTGAGTCATTGATGTGCTGTGGATCGCGGTAAAGTCAAATTACAGTGTAGTTAGAATCTTAGCCCTTGTAGTGAGTGTAATATAGTATAAGCTTAGAGTATACTTGTAAAATAGTTGTTAAGTCAAGTCAAGTCTAAATTTAGTATCTGTGCTTTGAAGGTCATTAGTAATAAACTGGTTTAGATCAAGTCATAATAGAAATATAAACATGCTTGTTGGTGATGAAAATGAGCAACCTCCACCAGATGGAGATGGTAATGTACCTCCTCAAGGTCATAGTATCAAGAATATAAGGGTTCCTCTCCCTCCCAATATCACTTTAAAAGGGAAACAGCTGTTGACGTCGTACGAGCTACTGACTAAAAAATCAGGCGATGGAATACCGTGTCGCTGCATTTGTCACATGCATCGGTCAGAAAGCTCTGGAAATTCACGCTAGTCACCTTTTAAAGCTGAGGAAGATAAAGGAAATCTAGATACCATATTACCATATTAAATATATATTTTGATCAATATTTGATGAAGTTGCGTAAATTAGCTTCGTCATGTGAATACGGCAACATGGCCAGCGACATGATTAGAGACAGAACCGTTTGTGGGATACGGGATGATAACATAAGAAAAGAATTGTTAAATGAGAGCACGCTTACGCTCGAGGTTGTATCACAATGGTAAAGATTAGTTCACCTGAGTGTATACCCACAATCAAATGGGAAGTTTGAGTCAGCGGTTAAAATAGCCAAGAATCTTTTTCAAGAAAAACAACAACGATCACAAAGACAATAACAGAGCGTTAATCGCATGGAGACACACTCCTACTGCTGGATTAGATAGCTCTCCAGCACAGCGTATGTTAGGACGTCAAACAAGAATGTCCCTTCCAATTATGAGCTCACATCTCAAACCAAACTTTCCTGAGAACGTCACAGAAAACAAACAAAAGAAGCAACGAAAGCAGAAAAAATAATTTGATTGCGGTGCAAAAGAACTACCATTTCTTCAGCCAGGTGACATTATCAGAATGAAACCGAAAACACACTGCAAAGAGTGGAAGAAAGCATGCGTCAAAGAAATGGTCAATCGCAGATGTTACAAAGTGCAAACAGAATGCGGCGCAGAGTACATCAGGAATCGACGACATCTTCGATTAAGCGCTGAGTCATTCACTCTCATCGATCATACATTTTCACACAAATTTAAACTTCGCAAACAAACGCAGAGCGAATTCCCACCCAAGAAAGATATGCCACACGTTAAACGTACGAAGAAGCCGAAAGAAACTCAAAACAACAGTGCATCAACTAGACGCAGTACCAGAGTTAAGAGAAAACCTGGTTACCTTTAAGGACCATGTTCAATTTTTAGACATTTTCAAACAAAGTAAATTGATTTCAAGTGTTGAAAGAGCATAGAAAATTGGATGCTCATGTTATGCACAGTTTTAAATTATTTTTGAAAGCAGAGCAATAGAACATGTTAATTTTAGACATTATAATGACAATTAAACCTTATGAGCACATAAAGATTTGTGCTCTCACTCTTTTGATATCATTGTAGAAATTTGTTAAGAGTAGTTTTAGAGTCACTGAATTCTCACATTTGGAATTTTAGATTTTTTTTAGATAACAATTTTTTGATGTTTTGGAAAATAAGCATATTTGATGTCTATTTCCTAGTTTTGAATTGTTTTTGATAGAAAAAAAAAGAAAAGGAAAACAAAATACTTAATTTGTACGGAAAATTTAACTCACGAAGCACACTCAAGTCAAGTCAGTGTTAACATTGTGGAGTTTGTTTTATCATTTTGTTACAAGTACCAAGTCAATTGACTTATTGGTAAATTCATGTTATGATACACACTCTATTTCAATATGGTATCTAATTTGTTTTCTTTTCCAAAAAAAGGAATGATGTTGCATGCATGATTAATGATCACACGCCTTCTGGTAGCTCGATCCCGCATTGTATGCTGGGACGACAAGATGGCGATATGCTATGTACAATACGAGCTAATAAAGTGTGTTAATGAAAAACGTATTGTACCCTAGAAGTTACAACCTAAAACTAGATTTGAACTTGTCACTGAGGATGAGTTAGGTTATCCGCCGCACTTTGACCCTCGAGGAAGATTGCAGATTGAACAATTTTTAAATGCTGAAAATGGCCAAAAGTATTATGCTAATTGAGATTTAAAAAAAAAGTATTTGGAGCATTTCAAAAGATGTCATGACGCATGTGCGCATGGTAATGTCACAAAATGTTGTCTCCTGATGTGAGATATATGTATTAACTCTCATTGACAAATGCCTGTTCTTGAGGAACGTATTATCATTCATAAAATTTATCATGTATAAAAATTCAGTTTTTTGAATTCACATGGCAATATGATGACGTCACAATGTCTGATCAGCCATAATTTCTAGCTTCCGTATGTGCTGCGTGCGTAAAAAAATGCGCATGTGGTGAAAAATGTCAAAAATTTTGAAATGCTCAAAATGCCCTGAAATGTGCTCTCAGAGAGTGATTTTAAAAATTGGATGCATGCGTGCGCATGTGTTATGACGCGCACGCAAAATATTTTAGTATGTTGCATTCAAACTTGACCTGAAGTTTATGCCCACTAAATATGATTTAGAAACGTCAATTGGTTAGCAAGTTATAAAAGATAATGTAAAAACGCAAAACTGTGCGTAGATGACGTCACGCATGACTGAGCACATTGAAAAGCTTATTGTAGAGCCAAATGTTTGTTGAAGTGTGCATGTACGTAGCTTGTGCCATTTTTGAGATATCGTGCAAACAGAAATCGGGAGAAAGAAAGAAAAATCTCTGACAATAACAAGAGGTGATCCGTTAGTGAAGCGGATCACCAAAAAACTTAAATAGACAGTAGGCATATCTATGCATTAATGTAGACAGTAGGCATATCTATGCATTCTAAAGACCCCAAGAAATGGTGTGATTTGTTTTAGTTTTGATTATCGTATGTTTGTACTATATATACACATGGACTTAACAGAAATTATTACCAACCATGAGTTTACATTATAAATGAATTCCTGTTTTAATGCATGTTTAAATTAAACATCCTAAGCTATGCACCTTTTTATTGGGTCTGTTGCATCATGTGAATGCAAGTCTACTGTTGTACAGCTGTTAACTGATAGACAGAATGGTATGAACTTGTAAGAATCTACTTATGCCCTTGTTGAGATTAACTTTTAATTTTTAAGTGTTTGAAACATCAATTGAAGATTAAGTCAGTGCCATGGTCCAACTAATAATGTTATGTGGCTTTATTCTCTAAAAAATAATAGCAATACAATGTTCTAACTAAAAATGAATTTTATTTCGCTACAAAACAATATTATGATATAAGTTTTTTAAAAATCCATT